GTGTAGTAATATTTATTGGTTTAACTGAGTAATAGCTAGGCCTCCAACTAACCAGTATTCTTCCATTGTAATGATGTTCTAAGTTGTGAATGTATTCACATCCTCCAAACACGTTCTCAGCAATCCTCTCCATAGTATTCCTTTTTATCTTTATTTTCAGCAATCCTACCAGTCCAACATCTTCCTTATTGCAAATGAGTTTTAACTTCATTTTGCTTATTAGGCCCATTCAGGCCTCTCACATTCCAACGAAGGAGGCTAATCATCCCCAATTCTTGGAATGAGGTTGCTCTCCTCATTTGTTCCTTCCCTATTCTGGCTAGTCCCTTTAGATGAACTGCTTGCAAACTATTGTTTAGCCACTCTCCTTGGTGTAATCCATACTTCTGTGTCTTCTATTTGTGCTACTTTTTCCAATTTTTCTCCATGTTTCTCAACATTCTCAGTTTCTTTTTTGTTGTGTCCAATTCTCCTTTGTTCGTGTTATTTTCCCTTTTTGTAGTTACTGGCTTAGCCTTCTTCCTACAAATTTCCTCTGAGTGTCCATACTTTTTACAGTACTGACACAGAGTGGGCTTCCATTCATAACTCACTTTCTGCTCTATCAACTGTCCTTTCTCATTTTTAAAGCTAATGCTCTCTGGAAGTATTGTATCCATGTCCACTTCTACCATTAATCTAGCAAAATTTAAACCTGCATTTCTTTCTGTATTTTTGTCCACCATTAAATGTTTTCCAATCAGACTGCCCAGCTTACTTAGGCCTTTTGGACTCCAGTACTTGAAATCTAATCCTGGAAACTTAATCCAGATAGGTACTGAATGCAGCTCTTCTCTAGAAAAATCCATATTCGAACTCCAAGCCTTAACGATGAATGGTTTGCCATCAAAATGGTAAATCCCTGCCTGAACCACATCATTTTTCCTTCTTCTGTGTCAAATCTAACCAGTACCACTCCATTCTTCAGCATTACTATCTTATGTATACCAGGGTTTGAATCTTTATCTGCTAACATCCAAATCAAAAATAGATCTAAGTATATATAGAAACGACCCAAAAAAATGGCAGAATTATGTCAAACTTGAATTAACATATTAGATACACAACTAAACCCATACACACGTTTAGTGCAATAATGCACAGTGGAGTCTAACATACTAGTTTGGTTCATGAAGATACATTCATACTTAATCAAATACACTGATAAAAACTAGATACATATGATCATATCTCAGTTATGTATCAGATACATCAATTGGGTCTTCTGACCTCTTAATCGCCTTCGCCGGTCTAGGCGGTTTCTCCACCGTCGATGTGATCTCCAAAGTGGCCAAATCCAACGATGCTCGATCTTCAGAGTGACCAAATCCAACGACACTTGTGTTATTGGCCATTTGAAAAAAGAAAAAAACTCGAAACTTGAAGATACAAATGAAGGAATTGATGAAGAAGATGAAGTTTACAATTTCAGAATTACTATGCTTTATGATTTCGATATTTTAGGAAAACTAATAATAGTTGATATAAAAGGATCCTCTAAATCTGTTTTGGTTGTTAATTACTCATCATTAACTTCTTTAATTAAGGAAATAAGTTACACTCTTTAATTCAAAAGTAAAAAAATCGTGTATCTCACCTATTAAATCTGATGGATACATATATGTGACGGGTCATGATACATGTATCTGAAGGCCAAAAAATGGTATAGAAAGTAATATAAAAAACTATCGAGAATCCTAATAATTAGAATTTAAAGTAGTGGATTTATGTAGTTTGCCCTTTTTCTTTCTTTTAGAAATTTTTTAGCTTTTGCTCATGAATTATTTTAAAAAAAAATCCATTTTATTTGAAATTTTAAAATTGAAGTTAGAGATGAACTTGTCACTTGTGTTTGTTTAGTCATAGTTTTTGCACTTAATATTTTGAATATATATATATATATATATATTATTTGAACATGGAATATAATTTAAAATAAGTTGTTTTATGAAATACAAAATTTAATTTTTTTTTGAAAACATAATATATTAAAAAATAAAAAAAATAAAAACAACATTTTTGGTGTTTTTCAAATTATAACTATAACTTGAGTTGTATTTGAAATTTTCATGGCCAAATATTGTTATTGAAAGATGTGAAATAATTTTTCCAAAATAAGTGAAAAATTGTCATGGCCAAACGGTTTGGATTCATGTACTAATATTTTTATAATTTTTCTGATTTATTTGTGTAACCTACAAATTACAATGCCAAGTAAAATGGTCATTGGTATACGAGTTTAAGAAAGGTTTGATGAAGTATTAGCTACCAACCACACTTAGGAGTAAAGTGAAAGGGGAAATCAACCATTATCAGTAATAAACTTGAATAAATGAGGGTGAAAAAAGAATCCAAACGAGGATTGCAATTGCTACTATTAATCAAAGCCAAAACAATTCTAATAGAAGACCCATGTTTCATGAAAATAGTTAACTTTGCTTTTGTATTTTGGTGTTGCTGTGTTTTTGTTACCTTTTTCTTTTTTCACTGTTTTTTTTGGTCTCATTTTTTGTTACCTTAGTTGGTATCAAACTCTATTTTGGTGTTGCTACTGTTAAATTGCAATATTACGTACCAAACTCTACAATGCCAACTGTCAAGTTTGTTTAGGCAATAACCTTTTTCTTCATATCAATTAGTCAAGTTGTAATTTATATTCAAATTTTGATTAAACATAAGATGAAGTTCTCATTCTGTTATAATGATATTCTTTTGGTTATTTTACTTTCAGTGATTTACAGTTGAAAAATGAAATTGACATGTTTTGAGTATTGCCAGTGTAGACAGGATCGTATCGTAAGTCGGGCAACTCCTCACCTGCCTCAAGAAGACTTTTAGTGAATCCATAAGTTAATGTTACATTCGATATTCCCACAAGGTATAAAGTGGCTCTGACAATGTGGGTAAGACATTGGACCATCGCGAGACTCATAGAGATGGTTATCGATTAGAGAAACTCCGTAATAAAGTAAAGTGTTTATATTTCAGTATTTGCTATCATTACATCTTATAGTGTATAGTTTATTTGATTTTACTTCACGTGCATACTTTACTTCAGTTGAGTTACTTTCAGTCCTTCAGTTCGATCGGTTATCTATTTCATTCAACTTTATTACATACTGTACATTTCATGTATTGACGTCATTCGACGCTGCATCGTTTCATGATGCAAATACATATATTCAGGATCATCAACAGGCACTTCGTTGAGATCACAACACCACTCATCAAGTTTTGATGAGGCCTCCTTGCTTTTCGAAGGACTTCAGTCTTTTATTGCTTTAGTAGTTTTGATTAAGATTGTCGTGGGTCTTGACCAGACACCTATTTGGAGACAGTAGAGGCTTCATAGATAGACAGATTTAAAGAGTCTTTTAGTGTTCATTTTCAAAAGTTTTGCTAAACTTTTATCATTTTTGTTTAGTATTTCTAGACAACTTGACATTCAGTCAATTACTTTAAATGTTTTTCTTCAGTTTTAAGTTTACGTTTGCTTGAGTTAGTCTTCTGCTAAGTAGTCAATCATGCTAAGGGTTCACTTGAGGACCAATCATGATTTTCGAGTGTCGGCTACGTCTAGGGTGTAAGCTTGGGGCGTCACAGGAAATCCTTGTAACCCAATGAGACTTAACTAGGCACTGCACCGGTAATTCAAATTAGTATAAAAATCTTTGTCTCAATTTATTTTTCGTTATTTATCATCTATCATACTAACCTGCAGGAGAGTTGACTACCAGCCTTTGAAAGTCGATTTGGAAGGAATTTTCAATTCAACCACTCCCCCCTCCCCCCTCTTGACTTTTAATTACTTCTTTACGTGCCCAACTAACGTGAGGTTACAACTTCTTTGGAAATGGATCAAAAGGATGTTTTTATTTGTTGTGGTTAGGGGTGTTTGTGGTTTGGTTTGGATCCGTTATTGATTAAAACCAAAATCAAACCAATCTAGTCGGTTTTTAAAAATTTTAAAATCAAATCAAACCAAACGAAAAAAATAACCGTCGATTTGGTTAGTGTTGGTTTGGTTCAGTTTTTCTGGTTTATTTGGTTTGAAAGTGATGTTTTTTAGGACTTACGTATTTCGATAGACACAAATACCTAGCACATGAACAATCCACATAAAAACTATTGTTGGTTCAATTAATCAATTTTATAAGCAATACAAGAGTTATCATTACACGAACAAAGTGATTCAATTAAGAGAAAGTGTTTTATGTGAAGTAGGGTAGGTAAAAACTAAAATGAATTTTGATGGACTTGGATTTAGGCTTGTTATAGTTGACCTATAGTGTTGGACTTGAGAAAATGGTAAAATTAAAGACTTGAGTTAATTAAAATTCAACAAAATATTTATATTTTATTTATGAATAATATGTAAATAGTTGTAAAATTTATACATCTAATTTATCGGTTCGGTTTGATTATTTTTGCGCTTGTTTTTTTAGTAAAACAAAAATCAAACCAAATAGTATCGGTTTTCAAAATTTAAAACCAAACCAAACCAAATATCGATTTTTTTAATCGGTATGGTTTGGATTGAATTGCGGTTCGATTTGATTTTTTAGCCATAACCATGAACAACCCTAATTGTGGTAAATAGTTCCGTGAAGTAATAGGACGGCACATTTTAGGTGTCTAATTAAAAAAAAAACAATTAAAATTAAGGGCAACTTTATATATAGAGTAAATATTTTTAATATTACAACTTTTTGATCACCTTGATTCAATGACTCATATCATCCTTAATTGAGTGAGTCGGGTCATTTACCTAATTGTAAGATGAGGGATGATATAAGTAAGCAGAAATAAAAAGTGGGGAAAAATGGACCTGAGATGTCCGAAGTAAACGGAAAGCGGTCAGGTATTGAATTAACGGTGCACAACATGCAATAGTAACTGAAACTTCCAAATACTTACATCTCACTATCAAATATTCATCACACTATTGCTAATAATAATAGCAATGAATAAAGATTATGTTTTCTGAATAAGAAGCTGCACAGTTTAATTTATGCCTTCACAGGTTCTTTTCTGTTTCTCCTTTTCCTTCACAATATCAGTTGTTTTTTTAAAATTATTTGAAAATCTATTTGTTATTTAGGTGTATTCCTTCATGGTATCCTAGATTTTTTGTTCTTGATTTCCATATTTGCATGCAATTGGTACGATTGATTGTGCCACTATCTCATTTAAAAGATTATATTGTTAGCAGAACGACAACCCTTGGGCCTATATTATTATATTTTGTTTAGGAGTGAGGGTGAAACTCCAACGCTTGACCTTGCTCTGGTACCATGTTATTTTGTGACCATCTCATGATATAAGTGGAGATTCTTTGAGTCTCAACTTTGAAGGGTAAGATTAATATTGACATTATTGTATATTGGGTGTTGAAATTAGTTATTTTAATTGCAATTTGATTATTATAGTACTAAATTCATTAATTATGTACATTTGACATTTATTAATTTACCATAAGTTGTAAGCTTCACTTCAATGAAGTACACTTCATTTCTTGCTTTTCGCTTCAAGACTAAACTTACTACCTTGGGGTAGTTTGGTAGCTGGTATGGATGGGAGTTATGCAGGTATTGAATCTTGCATAAATAATACCACGTTTGGTAACTGGTTAGGAGGTAAGCTATTCATGTATCAAATTAATATGGTGTTTGGTTTGTAATTAGAAATCTGTATAACTATAATACATGTATAAGTTACAAGGGAATCTGTGATTATTCTATGCAGGACAGAAGGTGGAATAAATAATACATGAATAACATTCATAACTAACCAGCTACCAAACGACCCCTTAGTCTATAAGTGAATACAACAATTTCTTGCTTTTCGCTTCATTCCAGTGATGGTCTAAACATTGATAACAGATTGCAGTGAGGTATATTTGATTTGAACATATAGATGACACAATCGCAGACTGTTTCGCTTGTTGTGACTTTCTTGATTTGAGCTTTTCTACTTTATATATATGTGATGCAGATATCTTCCGAATTGAATGTTGAGCACTAGTTTACTATCATGAACTCTATCCTGGATCGCGTAGCCAAAGATTATGGTAGACGGAACAGCTCAAGTGTGTATAGTAGTGGGGATGTCTTTGAGCCTTTGTCAAGTAGTAACGGTGAGGCTGAAAAGACAAAATATTTATTCCATATAGGCTGATCAAACTCTTGATCTGGCTAATTCCCCTGACTGTGCTTTATTGTTTCTACAGCTAAGCAACGGGCAAAATTGGTAGAATGGTTTAATAGTGTTCTTCCTCACTTGAGTTTGCCAATAAATGCTTCTGATGAGGATTTACGAGCATTGTTGATTGATGGTTCTGTCTTATGCCAATTATTGAATAAGTTGAAACCAGGTTCTGTACCTGAGGTAGTTTATAACATTTTGATTTTACAGTATGCTGGAGTAAGTATGGCTTTGTCTGTTGATTTAACTGTATCTTTTGTTCTAGTGTGGTGGTACAGTACACTCTCCAGAGCTAAGTTCAGAAAATATTAGAAGGTTTTTGTCTGCTATGGATGAAATGGGCTTGCCCAGGTTCCACGCATCAGACTTGGAACAGGTTAATGAATATAAATTGGTACTCATGTCATAACTAACTCATGTAGTTCATTTCTACTTATGATTATAGGAAGTCCTTGTTCTCCCGTTTGGCTATTTTGAAGTTGAAACTTGAAAATTTGAGGCTTTAAAGTTGTGTTTGGACATGCATTTTACTTGGAGTTTTGTGAGTGGAAGTCTCAAAAATACAACAACTGGTCCGAGCCCACTTGAAATTTCATGGCCAAACAGATATTTGAAGATAAAATTTTAAAATCTGATCCCAAATATATGGCCAAACACTAGCTTAACTTTGCAGGCCATTTGAGTTGTGTAACTTTTTCCATATGTAGAAAAGTGTTATCCTGCTTTACTTTTATATAGTGAATTGCCATCTATATTTCATTTTAGATCTATTAATAATGATGAATTGTCCAGGGTTCCATGAAAATAGTACTGGAATGCCTTTTAACACTTCGGGCAGAATTTAAGCTGAATGATGGAGGATACAATTCGAGCACAGTATTATCCAGTAAATATGGGGCTGATGCAAGCAGAAGATGGAAACTGTTGGGTGAAAATTTGGGATGTGGTGATTTTTCATTCATAGAAGAATTTTCATCAAGAACTCACTCTACCTCATCCCTAGGAGAACGGATGAAGACAGGATCAGATTCAAAATTCCAGCGTGCGTTGAGAAGTCCTGTAGTGACAGGTATTGATGTAATATGCAACATAAAAACACGTTTACAGATGGCATAGCTGTTTGCTATTTGCTTTGCAATCATCAATGTTCTTTTGCTCTTCTTGCTTTTAAGAAGTTAAGCAATTGTTAAATTAGGTAAATAACTGTTTGCTCTTGCTACTTCTCCAAACTCCACATGTCATATCTTCTCTCTGAACATTGTAGAGCCATCGGCCGCGTTAATACATCACGTTGGACATAAGTTCCATGAAGTATTTCAGCTTAAACAAGGGAGCCACGCTGAAATTCCTGCTGCAAGGATTTCGGAAATGATGAGATCTAACAGTTTGGATGTTAGTAACAAGTTCCACCCTCCCTTTTGTCAATGAAGCTATCTTTCTAGTTGGATAAATTTTATTCTTGAAGGTTTGAATTTGTACTTGTTCCACTCATTTCATTTTTTATTGCTTTCAGATTGCCCCAACGCAGTCACTTCTAAGTGTTGTAAATGGGATTCTTGATGAAAGCGTTGAGCGGAAGAATGGAGAGATACCTCAAGTCTGCACTTAATTTGCATATTTTGACTTGTAGAATTTCTGTTCTATATGAATACATTACAAAATATATGATCTAACATTAGTTGGATGTCTAAATCTGTCAGCGTGTAGCGTGCCTATTGAGAAAAGTGGTGCAAGAAATTGAGCGGCGGATATCTACTCAAGCTGAACATCTTAGAATGGTATAATCTGTAGCTGTATTCTCAATTTCTCTTTCCAGTGGATATATTTCATATCATTTTTCTTTCTGTGCCTGCAGCAAAGCAATCTATTCAAGTCTCGTGAAGAGAAATACCAGTCAAGGATCAGAATCATGGAAGACCTTGCAACTGGAACTAGTGAAGAGACACAGGTAGTTATGGACTTCACATTCTAGGAAAAGTTCAAAGTCTGCAATTATTACGCTTCCCGAATTACTACCTTTACACATCCAATTCTTCTGCATTTCAGATTGTCATGAACCAGCTTCATCAGATTAAGGTAATTTTCCAGTTTTTTCTCTACCCCATTGCTAGCTCAATGTTCAGAATGTTCTCTTCTTTTGTGTGCTTTTAGCACTTACTATATCACACGAATCGGCTATCCTGGAAATTAAACCGGCTATGCTTCATCCTATTTCTTCATCTCATGATTGAGGACATTATCATTACTTGCTCAGATTAACAGTACTCTCTTTTGCTTCTGACTAGAAGGCGTCGCGTATAATTTGTTTGTTAATCTTGTCAAGTGAAATCTGTTATTGACTGCAAAGAATATGATGCTAGAGTCTAGGTAGTTCCAAAAAATTCAGCTCCATCATTTTTCTCAACAATCTTTAGTTTTACTATTACTTTGTTTTTGAAATCACATGCAGAATGAGAAGAACAAAGCGGAAGAGAAGAAGAAAATTGAGGAGCAGGATGTGCCTAGATTGAAAGAGAAGGACGATCAAATTGCCGCATTGAAGCAAGAACTGGAAATGGCTAAGAAGTCCTATGAATCGAAAGAGAACGAAGATCATGGACAAAATATCACAGCTTTGAAGAAAGAGCTGGAAATAGTTAAGAAATCATATGAATCGAAAGAGAAGGAAGATAATAAAGAAATTATAGCTTTGAAGCAAGAAATGGAAATAGTTAAGAAATCGTATGAATCGAAAGAGAACGAAGATAATAAAGAAATCACAGCTTTGAAGCAAGAAATGGAAATAGTTAAGAAATCGTATGAATTGAAAGGGAAGGAAGCTGATAGTCAAGAAATCACAGCTTTGAAGCAAGAACTGGAAATAGTTAAGAAATCGTACGAATCGAAAGAAAAGGAAGAACATAGACAAGAAATAGCAGCTTTGAAGCAAGAGCTAGAAACAGTTAAGAACTTGTATGAATCGAACGAGAAGGAAGATCATAGGCGAGAAATCGCAGATTTGAAGCAAGAAATGGAAATAGCTAAAAAATTGTATGAACAACACACCCTAGAAATGAAAGAAAAGGCTACAGAAGCTCAACAAGAACTTGAGGAGAAGTTGAAGGAGGCCATGAGCCTTTTGACAGAATCAAGAAATAGGATAAAGGAACTTGAGACATTTGCTCAATCAAACTCTCACAGTTGGAAGAAGAAGGAGCATATTTACCAAATATTTGCAGACTTCCAGCTGGGTGCACTGCGTGTATGCTTGATCTCTTTTCGTCTTTTTAAATTTTTCCTAAAATGTCATTTATGTAGAATGTATAACTCGGACCTCCATGACTGTTCAGGAACTGAAGTTTTCTTCTCAGTCAATAAGGCAAGAAGTGGTGAAAACTCAGCAGAGCTACGTGGAGGAATTCAATCAACTAGGTCATTTCAGCTGCTTGAAGTGTTATACTAATGTCGTTTATTGAAGGCCATATAAGTATAAGATATCAAGACAAGTTTTAACATTGACTTGAATGGATTTTCCTCATGAAATCAAATTTTGATTACAGGTGCAGTAGTGAGAGCACTTGGACATGCAGCTGCAAACTACTCTGCACTCCTTGCTGAGAATCGCAAACTGCACAATGAGGTGCAGGAGCTAAAAGGTGTGATAACATAGTGATCTTCGTAATTTCGAGGACTGAAAATTAAGTACCGTTCTTGTTCATCTACTTATGTTTATTTTTCAATTAGGAAATATCAGAGTATATTGTCGAATTAGGCCATTCCTTCGTGGACAAAAGGAAAAACAATCAGTTGTTGAATACATTGGAGAAAATGGGGAGCTGATTATTGTAAATCCTTCCAAACAAGGAAAGGAAGGCCGCAGGTCTTTCAAGTTTAATAAGGTCTACAATCCAGCTGCAACACAAGGTTTTCAGATTCTTCCATATAAATTATAATCAATTCTTATATCTCTAATCTGTATAATTAACTCTAAAATGACTTCACCTTCCAACTCTTCTACAGCTGATGTATATTCAGATATTCAGCCATTAATACAGTCCGTGCTTGATGGATATAATGTGTGTATATTTGCCTATGGTCAGACTGGATCAGGGAAAACATACACCATGGTAATGAATTTTGGTATATAAATTTGTTAAATATGTTTATGTTTTTTCACTTTCCTGAAGTCAAACTTAATTGACCTACAGACTGGCCCAGACAAAGCGACCGAGGAGAATTGGGGTGTCAATTATCGAGCTTTAAATGATATTTTCAGAATTTCTCAAACGAGAGTGAACACCTTCACATTTGAAATTACAGTTCAAATGATGGAAATATATAATGAACAAGTTCGTGACTTACTCTCAAGTGATGGTTCAGCAAGGAAATATCCTTTTATTTACTGCATGGTATCTGATTTGTTACTTTCAAACATTAAATGATCGACCAGTCTGAAATATTCTTCGGTTTTAACTTTTTTCTTCCTTCCTTCCTTCCTCTTTGCTGATACTGCTGTCTTACATTTTCAATTAATTTCCAAAAAGACCATCTCAGACTTGCATATAACATGCATCTGGTTAACTGTTTTCCTTAATTTGCACACACTTGGGATAGTGTCCACCCCCCAGCCTAATGGATTAGCTGTTCCAGAAGCAAGCATGCATACAGTAAACAAGACCTCTGATGTCTTAAATTTGATGGATATTGGATTAAGAAATCGACATAGAGGTTCCACTGCAATGAATGAAAGAAGTAGTCGGTCGCACAGGTTCCGTATAACAACTCTACAGAGTTCATCTACATACTTTGAAGTTTGAAGTACATATCTTCTCTTTTTTATTACGAGTGATTTACTATATCATACTGTGATTAGCTGCAATATGTGCACAGTGTTGTCACTATTCATGTTCGTGGGATGGATATTAAGAGTGGTTCATCCATGCGTAGTAGTCTTCATTTGGTGGACCTTGCTGGAAGTGAAAGAGTCGACCGCTCTGAGGTGACTGGCGATAGACTGAAAGAGGCGCAGCATATAAATAAGTCATTATCTGCCCTAGGAGATGTCATTTATGCTTTGGCACAAAAGAATGCCCATGTCCCATACAGAAACAGCAAGCTGACTCAAGTCCTTCAGACTTCATTAGGTACCTTTTTTTATTTATCCTAGTTAGTCTTTTGATTTTTTTTCTTCCGGTAACCATGTAAACAGTACCATTAACAAACAAAAGTGATACACCCAAAGAACACCCATCTCCACAACCGCCTTCCAGGAAGAGTGCTATGAAGAATGAGCCTCCAACAGAAAAAAACTACTTATATCATCTGTGCGGTATGAATAACTGGAACTAAAAACAAAGAATCCTATGAATAAATTGCCAACATCTGTGCCCTCTTTGATGAATTTAACATCTCAATTCTTTGTACAATTTCCTCTTCCAATTCCTAGCTCTCCAGATGTGGTAGCCATCACCTTTACTTTGGAACTTCTTCCGGTGCTTCCTCTTTATAGTCATTAAGACTTGCTTCATGTCCCCTACCTGAATGTTAGTGTTATTATACACAATTAGTTCATTCCTAACTGAAGGGATCCATGCACAATCAGAAAACAAGTGAGAGCTAGTCTCCAATGTCTGTGTCTTACACAGACAGCTAATGGAGGAGCCAGAACTTTCACTAAAAGGGGTCAAAATATAAAGAAGTAAATCTTCAAAGAAACCAAGGGGTGTCCGTATGTAATATATATCCATAAAAAAATATTTTTACCTTGCTACACAGTTTAACTCTCCGACTTAAGTACATACAGCAAAAGAGATCGATCATCCACTTGCATCTTCAGTTTAATCAGTCTCTCTTTCGTAAGCAGACTGTCCACATTATAACTCTATGCATTGGCTGGGATACAGATGTCCACACAATATCTGTAACCTCCAGCTTCCTTTGCAACCTCATAAGAAGTTGATAACTACTAGTGATGAAGTATACTCCATTAGCAGTTAAACTATACACATTCTAGTTATACCATATGACCATCCTATCCTTCAAAGAGTTGATTTTTCTCCGGTACCAGCTACTATCCAGTGGAGCTTTATGCCCCCAGGTACTATTGTCATTTTTCATATAAATCCCATGGACCCCAACTTACCCACAACTAGTTTCCAAAGTAACTTCCCCACTGAATCTACATTTCCAAGTTCTGCATTCTTTCACGTTTAAGTCCTCTATTCTTTCGTAGACAAGCTTTGTCCCAAGAGACGAGGCATGGTTTCCTCAGTCCTTCTGAGATCCCCCACATATGTTCCCTGCACTTTCTATCCACCTCCTTCAATATGCTCTGTGAGATAAAGGCAGACCCCTGAAGCTATCTATAGAGAAAAGCACAGCATTCAGAACTTGAAATCTTCCAGCATAGGATAATTGTTTAGCATAAGCAGTACTAAGCATGCTGGTAATCTTGTCAATTAGTTGTTGACACTCTAACTTTCTACACTTCTTAGAGGATATAGGCAGTCCCAAATATCATATTGGAACTACCCCTAGAGTGTAACCAGCAATATATCTTTCATTTGGTCAGTAACTCCAACTATAGAGATGCTAGACTTCTCCAAATTTCCAATCAAACCTGTGGCTGCACTAAAGTGATCCACTGCTTTCCTCGCCCTTAGCACGGAGTGTTCCTCTCTGTTGCAAAATATCATTAGATCATCAGCAAAGATTAAGTGAGTCAGTTTAACAGTCTTGCACATGGGGTGATATTTGATGTCAGGTAACTGGTACAATACGTTACAACATGAAATTGGTCTATATTGGCAAGCACTGTCAGGACAGTCAACCTTTGGAATAAGGGCAATATTAGTAGAGTTAATCAGGAGTCTTTTGATTCTTTCAGCAACAATTGAGCATGAATCATAAGCAAGTGCATCGGAGATATTTCAATGAAAAATAGAATATGTTTGACATGGCTGAGAACCTCCATGGTTTCAAAAAGATTTTGACCACACTAGGTAGTTTCTATATCCCTGCATTATTATCTTTTACATCTCGGGTACTTATCTGATAACTATTCTTGCTTATTTAGTGTTGAACTATTTATTTATGATATTTGAGTACCCGCTCGGATGTAAATTTCTTCAACATTTGCAATTCTGCAATAAGTTCAAATGGATCTCTTTCCTCATTAATGTCCTCGGCTGTTGATACTTGCACATTTTTTATTTTGTTATACAGGTGGTCAAGCAAAGACACTTATGTTTGTACAGCTTAATCCTGAAGTTGGTTCACATTCAGAAACCACGAGCACATTAAAATTTGCTGAAAGAGCATCTGGAGTAGAGCTAGGTGCTGCTCGAAGTAGTAAAGAGGGCAGGGATGTAAGAGATTTAATGGAGCAGGTGTTCTTTAAACTTTAAATGCTTATTAGTAACATTCAATAGTTGTGCTAGAACTGAAACATTATTTTATGCTTCTTCATTAATTACCTAACTTGTACGATCCCAGCCAATTGTCAAGGTCTTGTCTGGTTTAGA